AATACTGCCGACTGAAGACTGAAAACTGTGCCTCCCGGGATAGGACAGAGTTGCTTTATTTAGCGGGTTCTATTCCACTTTGGCATCGACTAGATGATGAACCGTGTGATTACCCTGTTAAGTATAATAATTCGAATCTGGGATCTGGAATTTGCGTACGATTTTCCGCCGCAAACATTGTGTAACGATGATTGGTCTAATGGTCAAAATAAAGAAAGCTAAAAATTTCAGCGGCGTAATTTAAGCAGCTGTCAATGATAAACAAACCGAGAATTCGCCAGTCTTGAACTTTCTCGATTTGGCCTTACTTGCAAACGCCCTTTTCAGGAATGGAATAACGGAGACGATTGGTACTGCACATAGAGCATTGCGTCATCTGTATCTCTTCAAATGTGTCCCCCCAGCCACATAATCCTCTGCGTCTTCTATGCTTCTGTACGACTCCTCCTCATTTGTGGATGTGAAATTTGACCACTAAGATGACAGCATTCCAGAAGGTATGAGGTCATTTGACCACCGGTGCCCAAAGTTGTATGCGTCGAACAAAGCGTTATCAAAACCCCACTGACTAACTATCCATGTTTTACAAACACCATCTACTGCAGAGGTTAGGATATTTACTATCGCATCTCGAAACGGTGTTCTTTCGACAGATGCTGTGTCCCGCAACTTCCCCGAATGACTCTGCCGCTGTGTTGATCAGATGGGAACGTTAATCAGTGCTATCGACAAAGAGGTGTAGCCTATGGTCATTCATCGGTGTACGCTCTTGGAAATAAACGTGGATGACGATCTGAACGGGTCCGGTATTCATCTGTAAAGCACGATGCTCATGGAGCCCATTTATCCTCAAGCAAGAGAACATTGCGTAAAAATTCAAGAAAATTAACTGAACGGAATAACTCACAGACGGGTAAAGTATGTGCTTTGGATTACCAAATGGGACGAAGTAAATTATCATTTAACCACTGAGAACATACAGAAATCAGGATGTGTCTTTCCACTTTTTGTCGTATTATGTTTTAAGAGGGTGCAAAAAACAACCAAGAACATCTGTTGAGTCTTGGTAGTGCCCCAAGCCAAGAATCAAGTAGTGAAGTATCGAGTTATGAACCAAGACTCCGGTTTTTCAACGTGATCGAAACCTATTTTCGAAGCCTAAGTACGCCTAAATCAATTGTTGTTCTCAACTCCCTACATGCGATCTGAAGAAACATGCTTTCTGCCAGTGATGATAAAAGGAGAAAAAAATCAACATCATTGGTTGATACCAAATAAAAAACTTCAATAATAATCGCCAAGGAACCAGAAAGTATCAGTTACTCATTTTGAAGCCATTAGGTTTTTACAGCGATAACAAAATTACTTTCGGACGCTCGGGATCACTTAAAGCCACCCCTAAAAACATCTCACGTTGTGTTTGGACTAGCAGACGATATCACAAGAAATCAGAAGACAACAGTGCTGGATTTCGGAGAAGCTCTGAATCCGCATTCCATGAAGATAAAGTGAACGCAAGGGAGTACAAAGTGTTTGTTGAACTGACAAAGATACGAAATGATCTTTCAAGAGATTTTCAAGGGTGGTCACGTGAAAGCACACATTGAAAAAATGGGTAAGGGGGAAAAGAGGGAAATTAAAAACATCCTTATATTAAGAAACGTCCATGGGGAATAGTTTTTTATCTGATGGAAACAGAAGCATCGTATAGATGGAAGGAAGCAAGGCAACTACCATATCACAACCAAAGCAACCTACAAACATAATTTATACCGATAAGTGATACTTCTGGCACACAGAGAGCCGGCCGAATTGCAGACAGTGTTGCCGGCCACGTGTCGTTCATTTTTATTTTGTGTCTGAATGGACAAATGACGTAATCAAGAAACACAAAGGTACATTCTCATTTATAATCGAAATAAAATAAGATAGAACATTTAAAAAGGTTTAAGGCGTTTAACTGGATAATTGATGGCATACAGGATACTGTCGCACACAAAAATAATCAGCCAAAACTACCACTCAAGGACTGGCAAGATCGGTCAGGTACAACGCTCCTCCAAGGAACCCAAGACTAATCTCTTAAAACGAATACGGCGCAAAACGCTTATTCTCCTAAACTACTCCAGGGAGAAGTAATAATAGATAACGAAGATGGTATGCAACGCATCCGCTGTTTCAGGCCCGTGTGTGAAATCGGCATTATGAATAATCTTTTAGAGTTAAAGAAGTTCATTGTTCCTCTGGAAGTTGAACACGATTTGACAGAATAACTATCTCAAGGAGTATACTTCAATTGTTCTCCAATAATGAGGAAAAGGTGCGAAAATAGATCGCATTTTTACCACATGTATGTCTGAATTGTACGTCTCATATCAGAGCAAATACATTCAGCTATTATCTGTGGACGATTTATCTAGTTTGTAATAGTTGTAGTTACTGAGCGCAAACATGCAGGAATAAAGGTCCTAGGGTTCAAATGAGATTTCTCATTGAAAAAAGCAAAATAGGTGAATTTTCCGCACTGATCTACAACTTTATTCTTTACAACAATCGTTGGTGCGTCATTTGAATGAATCTGTTATAGTGAACAAACAGATAGGGATAAAATTAACAGTATTTTATAAATAATTCCACCGAGTACAGAGCACAGTCTACGTGGAAAAATCTATTATTCTCATTCAACTCACAGTTACTTGTGAGTATTTGTGTGGGATAATTGATATTTATCGACTTGAACTGACTATTCTTCAAACTTCGCATTCACGCGCAATCCTTACTTCATCGATTGAATCATAGAGTCGGAAGCACTAGACTCGAGTTTTTCCCTTCTTAGAGCTCATCAGTAGTGCATATCCACCGTTCCGTTCGGAATTGAAAATCCGGATCCATCGCATGGAAGACGTGTGTGTTACCACTGTGCCAACCAGCTCATGCCATAGTTGAACCAAATTGCCAATTCATGTTTGTTCAGATGTTGTCTTCAGTGATAAGCAGTCAGTTCATTTGGCCTAACGGCAACCAAGGGAGACACAGTTGGCAACCTGTTAACTCCAAGCGAAGGCCTCCTACCAAGTCAGGACTCCCATGCAGGTTACGGGCTGACTGACCACGAAGGTACCAAGCTCTATTGATCATGAGCATTTAACTCGCAGTTACTTGTGAGTTTAGTGCTTGCGAGTGTATCGTTGAATCGATGATCTGAGGATTGCTCGTGAAGGTGAAGTCTGAAGGGTAGTCAGTTCACATCAATCGAAAATCTACTAATCACCAAAAAACTAGTTCGACCATACTAGGATTAATCATCAGTGCGGATCCATCGACCCAACTAAGGATCAAATCTCAGATGTTACTGATAGAACTCAAAGCTATTATCACACTCCAGCCATACAATTTCACGTTATCTACATACAAACTTTACAACCTATCTTGACAAGCTTGTTGCAGAAATAATACCTCGCCCATCTTCTCAGTAGTCTTCATGGGTTATGATTCGGTGGTGAACATTCCGAATCCAGTTACTGGTTCATTGTGGTGATCCAGACTTCCATGACCGCAATCAATGCGCGACCAAGTACAGTTTTATATCATCCAATCACCGTTCAGGAAGCTCGACCAATGGTACACCGGGCGAACATGACATCCGAGTTAGTACATATGATGCGTCGGTGCAAACGATTATGTGATTGGAGGATGCTCGTTCAACCAATCATATGGACTATTATATTCTATACAAATGATCTAGTTCCTTCAATAAACATAAGCATTTGCTGCTATCAATTCCTCGAGTATTTCATTGGTGTCCGCAGTTCGGGTTGCCAATTCAGTTGTGAGCAGTACAGTACGGGTTCTCGTATTCCTAAATTCAGTACTATTCTGATTACTAGAATTTCGCGTCGCGCAATGGAGATTCCTGTCATTGAACCATTGAACCTGCACGGAAGCCCATCACAAATCGAAGAGTGGGTAGAACGTTTCGAATTACGGTGCAGCATCCGAAAAGGAGGAATTCAAAATTAGTCGGTCCTATTTTTGACGTTGGACGGCCGAGAGCTGTATTCCCTGGTGAAGAATCTAGCGTTCCCGAATGTTTCTGCTGAATTACCGTTCGGGAAGTTGAAATTCCCATTGCTGGACCACATTCACCCAGTGAATTTTCAGGCCACTGAACTTAATGACCAGAGCTGCCAACATGCCGTGCCGTGAGTTCATTCTCCAGTTGAACAAACAGGTGTCAAAATGCAACTATAGTGACCGATTGAAAGAACAACTTTGTAACCGTCTCATTGCTGGAATCAACAACATCTCATTACAATGTAAGATGTTGGAAAACAAATATATCAAGTTTGCTGAGGTTCGAAAAATCTGAGAGCAAAGTGATGATTTGTGTGTTGCGACAAATGCGGATACTCCTGTGCTATTCCGTCTGCAATCAACGAAACCATTACGTGACGCGCCCAATGTTCATAATTCATCCCAGGTTCCTCAAGTACCCAGTTCAAGCCGAACACAACCGAAGGCTGCGACCAACCGCTGCTTTTCTTGTGGTGAATACCATCTTCATTC